TAAGCTTGTATGCACCTAATAACACAGCCTCGAAACACATAAAGCAAAAAGAGAAATAAAAGGTGAACAATGAGAAAAGTGCACAGTCATAGATTTTTAACAACCCTTTCTCAGGTACCTTATCCACTGTTTAAGACTAATTTTCCCCTCTAAGAAAGTTTGAGAGATTTAGAGGAGAAATGGGCAAATTCAGTCATATAAGGAGATTTTTATGTACCACTATAAGAAGTGATACATCAAGCAGAGAAGGCAAGCAGAGTAAGCCTATAGACAACCTGGATGCCATAATTAACGAGCTGGATTTAACAGACCCAAATAGGATGCTACACGTAACAATGAAAACATACGCATTCTTTTCAAAACCACATGGGGTATCTATGAAAAACTGACCGTTTACTGAAGGAAGAGTCCACAAATAACAAAGAAACTGCTTTATGCAGATCACCTCCTCTGTCCTGAATTCAGTGAAATTGGACATAAATAATGAAAAATTCAGAACAAAAACCTTATGTTTAGAAATGTCAACAAACAAACAAACACATGTAGTGAGCCAAAGAAGAAGTCATAATTGAAATCTAAATATTCTTTGCCTGGGATGATGACAAAAATTCTATATATTTTGTGGAATGTAGTTTGCGTGGCATCCAGAGTGAACTCTGTAGCCTTAAATGTTGACGAGAAAGAGGAAGCGAGGGAAATCTGAAAATTAATTACTTTAACCACCAGTTCAAGAAATTTTTAAAAAGGCAACAGAATAAACCCAAAGAGAGAAGAAAATAATATGCAATATGTGTTAATAACACACTATGTATCTTCTATATTATATACATTCTTATATGAGACATGTGTTCTTATATGTAAGGGATATCAGTAATATATAAAAGCAAAAGTTATTGAAAGAAAACAGTGTTAACCAAACTAAAAGTTAATTCTTCGAAAACATTAGTAGAAAGTAGGAAGAAACAAACGCTAGTTAAACGGAAAAGGGAGACCTCTGGAACAACTGACCCAGAAAAGAGGAGACACGTATCCGATATTATCTGTAATTAAAAAAAATGGACGGTATGGATGGATGAGGCAGAGAAAATTTATTGAGAAAACTATGAGCAGCATTTTATTAATAAATGTGAAAACCTGGGCAGTGTGGATAATTTTCTTGAAAAATCTAAAGTGTTAAAATTGACCCAAGAAGATTATGAAACCTAAAGACAACTAGAGCCACTAAAGAAATGGAATCAGTAGTTAAAATTCAACCTAGGAAATGTTTATCCCAGACCCAGACGTTTGACCAGCAAGTTCTACCAAACATGCAAGGAACACATAATTCCAATGTTATTATACACACTGCTCTAGAAAATGGAAAAAGAAGGGACATTGACCAGTTCATTTTATGAGGCCAGCATAGCCGCACGAATGCAATACAAGAAGGAAAAATTACAGCCAATTTGACTCATAGACATGGATATAAAAAAAATCCTACAGTGAAATTAGATGTTGACCTTCATTCATTCATTCATTCATCCTTTCAGTCACTCAGCAAATATTTATTGAGTATCCACCATGCACCAACAGGCACTGTGCTATTACATGGCGAGCAGGAATGGACAGGAGATTAGGGCTTGTGGGAGGAGATGAGCAATAAAGCAAATGATCACACAGGGTAAGGTACATAGAGGACATTCTGGCAGGATGAGAACAGGGCACATCCAGGGGTATCTGACCTGGTCAGGGGGGGACAGGGGAAGCTTTCCAGACACATTAGTGGAATGAGTGTGGGAGGAATGTGTAGGAAGGAGGCTGTCGCGGAGGCTCGAGTGGGAGATCTGGGATGCAGTAGCAGGCAAGATGAATTTGAGAGAGATGTAGGAAGACGGAAATACCACATCCTACAGACTTCCATGATAGATCGCACTTGGGAAGCGGTCAACCTAGAGAGGGGTCAACTTTATCCGTAGGATGACAGAGGGAACCTTAAAAGAGGTTCAGATTGAGGAGAAGAAAGCAAGGTTTTGGACAGGTTGACTTTGGGAGAACTTTAAGAAGGCTAGGGTTACAGGTATTGAATAGGAAATTAAGCAGAGTTTAGAGGTTGGTGGGGAGGTCAGGCTGATGCTTTTGAGTGGCATCAGGCTGTTGGTGGTATTTAAACCCATCCCTCAGAGGAGCTTGCCCAGAGAGAGTGTGAAGCTGGGGGAAAGAATGAACACCGATATTTAAAGGACAGGCAGAGGACGAGTCACGGCAAAGAGACAGAGAAGGAATGGCTGGAGAGATAGGAGGGAAACGAGAAGAATGTCAGCATCAAGGACGCCCAGGAAAAAGTGAGTTACAGGAAGGGAGTGTCCAACAGTGTCACCGGCTGTTGAGATTTTAAGAGGTGGAGGACTGATATTGTGCTTCTGGAATTCTCCTGACCCAGGGGCTACCCTGAGTGAGTGAGCTGGAGAAGAAATGCAGAATAATAATAATAATAAGCCATTATAATGAACACAGTGAGGAGGTCAGCAGGAGGGATTTTTTTTTGCACAATGAGACTCTTCTGTATCTTGGTTATGGTGGTGGTTACGTGACACTGGGTGTTTGTCAGAACTCATAGAACGATAGACCACGAAGAGTAAATGTTACTGCATACAAGTTAAAAATATGTAAGTAAACACGGAGATTTAAGTGTTAGCTTTCTCACTGAATTTGTAACTGCAGTGCTAGCCCCTCTCGGGGTTTTAATTCGGTTCATTGCCAGCTTGTGTAAATCCCCAACAGGGAGCAAGGGCACCCTACTTTCCCCTCGTGAGGGACAGAATAAATAGGCAGGCAGGAGAGCCAAAGGGCATTGTACTGATGGCCAGATCCCCTTTTAGGAACTGACTGGTGGGGGCAGGGCACGGCCTGGTGAGCTTGGCTCCCCTGGGGCCCTGATGTAAAATGAGGGGGTTGATCAGGAAAGGCCTCTCCACCGCCCATGGTCTGTAGTTCTAGCAGAAAAATCCCAAACACAAACCAATTACCTGCAGTCTGCATTTTGCTATTGAGAATAATCATAATAAACAATGATCACAACAACAACTGGCTCTTAAACACATCAGACCACAGATGATTGGGGAAGCAGCTTGAAGTTACAGAAAATGCTTGAGTTTGTGGTATAAAGCTTTCGAGCACCTTTCTAAAAGTCAGATGAAGTAATGATTGATAATAAGCATGGCCCTTCTTGGTTTACAGTGAAAAAAGGCACTTTTGTATTTGCTCACTTCTCTCTCGCCTCTCACCCCATCAATCCTGACAGGGAGGAATTATCCCAATTTAGGAACTAGGGAGATTAAGAGTCTGGTCACCCAAGTCTTTGGCTGGTGTTTCGATTTTCCAAATCTTCCACTTTTCCTAGACCCACGGTGGATTTGGTACAATTTTGGTGTTGAGTGTATCCCATTGTGTCCTCATGCTACGACAATTTAATGGAAAAGTGTTAACTGGGCATCAATTCATGCCATATTAACTCAATGTCTTGTAATAATTTAAAACAATAAGGATAACTGTTTTAAATACCCCATAAATGGAATCCAGCCTGAATTCGGCCAGCCTGGAATCTGCTGGAAAAGTGTGAGATGGCTTTGGAAAGCTAACAACATTGTATTTTTGGAGTTTTCAGTGCAGGAAGGGACGAAGCCAGTATTTATTAAGCACCTACTGTGTGCTAGTATCTGTAGTTGCACCACTCAGCTCTTAAGGCGGTGGGTGGCAGGGAGAGGATTGGCTACCTCCCCAGATGGCTGGGGGCTTGGATTATTTTAATCGCAAGCATTTTACTATCTTGGCATAGACATAATAAAAGTATACGGGGAGAGTTGGAGAGGAGTTTCCCGAAATAAACCCCTTCTCAGCCATCCCACAGACGCTTCAAAACTATTTTTCACTATATACAAAATTTTGCTTTGAACCCCCATAATTTGACCTTGACCGCCTATAAACCCATTTTATTATTTTTTAAAACGCTGTATGTTTAGCGCGGAAACCCTTTCTTGGGCACTTTCTCACCCCTGGAATCGCGTCAGCTTCGCAAAGTTCCAAAATAACCTTTCCCGGCACGGATTCGTACCTCTGCCGGGGAAGGGCGGGGAGCGGCGCGAGACGTGCCGGTGTGCAGCGGGAGCCAGAGAGAACTTCCAGCGCGAAAGGAAAATAAAACTTGTGGCTGGTGTTTATGCGAGAGGGTCTCGGCAATCCTGAAACCCCCCGATTCTGGGGGGTCTCGGGGTCTGCCCGAGGAGCGCCAGGCTTTAGGTTTGATCCGGACGTCCTTGACCTAAATTTCTGCGGGGTGGCTGGAAAAAAGGCGCAGAAGCAGGCGGGCGGGCGTCTGGTGCCGTCCCCGGATCCCGGCGGCCGCGGCCAGCGAACTTGAATGGAGAGGCCGAACTAGCGGGGGTCGTCTCCTCCCCAGCCCGACTGAGGATCGGCCGCTAGCTCCCCGCGCCTCCCCCTCCCCCGGTCCACCCGCTCCACGCAGCCCATGTGATTCAAGAAAGTCGGGGTGCGCTCCCCCACGCCCGGCGCCCGGACCGCCCGGAGGCGGGGCCCCCTCGGGCCGCAGGGTTCGCGCACTGCCCCGCGGGTCCGGCCGCGGGGGGCCGCCTGTGCGCGCGCGGACGGGCGGGGGCCGCACCAGGGTGCGTGACGTCACCGGCATTGGTTACACGACGTTATAGAACTCCGCCCCACGTGCGCCGGGGAGGAGGGGGGAGGAGGAGGAGGAGGAGATGGGGGTGGGGAGGAGGAGGGGGAGAGGTGGGGATGGGCCGGGGGGGCGGGGACGGGGGGGTGTGCGAGCCGCGGGGCTGAGCTAAGCCGAGCCCACGTGTGACGGCTCTCGCCGCTGCCCCGGCTCCGCCGCTCGCAGAGAGATTCGGAGGAGCCCGGGCGGGGGGGAGGAGGAGGAGGGGGAGGAGGGAGCGGGAGATCTCGGGGCTCGGAGTCGGCCGCCGCTCCGCTCCGATCGCTGTGGGGCTCGGATTTTTGGGGGTGGGGGGGCGGGGGGGCTCAGATATGGAGGCAAATGGGAGCCAAGGCACCTCGGGCAGCGCCAACGACTCCCAGCACGACCCCGGGTAAGTTTCCAGCCGCTGCCCACCGCGCCGCCTCGGGCTCGCTCTCCTTGCAGCGGCGGGGACGGCGGTGCGCGGAGCTCGGCATCTCCCGCGCCCCCCCCCGCCCCTCCCGCGCGCCCCCCCCCCCACCGTGGAAGTTACACACCTTTGGATTGCATTTCGCCGTCACCTTCTTCCCCACCCCACCTCCCGGCTCTCGCTTGCTCGCTCCCCCCCGCTTTCCTTTTAGCTTTTGTAAGTTACACGTCAAAATGGCCGATCTGACATCGGTGCTCACTTCTGTTATGTTTTCTCCCTCTAGTAAAATGTTTATCGGTGGACTGAGCTGGCAGACCTCACCAGGTAAGGGAGGGAGGGGGGGACGCCTGGGTCCCCCCCTTCTTGGCTTCTTTATTGCTCTTTGTTATCCCGGTGTAGGAGCCCCCCCCCATTGGCTCCCCACTTCTCCTGTGCAAGGTTATTTTTTTAAATAGCAAATCCTTTCCGAGCCCTCTACGCGACCTCTGTTGCCGAATTTCTCCCGCGTGTGCAAAAAATGCAAAAAAACAAAACAGAATAACAACAGAAAACTACTTTTGGTTTTTGTCCTTGATCAACATTTGCATTGCTTTTTCCCCCCACACCTTCTCCGCCCCCCCATCTCTCTCTTTTTCTCTCTACAGATAGCCTTAGAGACTATTTTAGCAAATTTGGAGAAATTAGAGAATGTATGGTCATGAGAGATCCCACTACGAAACGCTCCAGGTAAACCATTCCTTTCTGGATTTTGCCTTTATTTTAGAACAAAGTTTAAGTGTTATTTTTGGAGGTGTCTTCGGAAGTAGCTAAGCGGATTTAGAATGGGGCTCAGGCATGCGGCTGGTTTCGAACGCCGCTCTATTCCACCCCCACCCCCATAACCTCAAAGGTTATTATAAATTGGGGCTTGAACTCTGTCTGGATAGAGATACCCATCTCTCCGCCTTAAATCATTTTCCCGTCGCTTCTCTTTCTCCTGTTGAAAATGACATTCGGCTTCATTCACTTTCCATACAGTTTTTAAAAACGTATGCTTCTTCCCACTCCCAGCTCCCCAAACTCTTAAGCCCCTCTAAGAAAGCTGGATGAATCTCTTCTAAGTGCCGGGTTTTCATCGGGATAAAACAAAGCGTTAAGAAAGGGGAGGGGAGGAGGAGAGGAAACTGAGGTGGCGAAAGAGTGGAGACACCAGCTTTTTCCAAGTTACCTCCACCGGCCCTGCCCCCGTTCCACTTCCCCCATTAACCTTGGTGTCTTTTCCTGCGAAGTGGAGGGCTGTAGATCGGAGGGGTTTTGGAGGAGCAGGGTGGGGGGGCGCGGAAGGGGCAACTTTTGCTCTCCATTCTGCAGCAGGGCTCACTCCCTGTTGCTTTCAGTGGTGTCACATTTTCTTGTTTGTTTTTCTCCCTCTTTGTCTCATTTCAGAGGCTTCGGCTTCGTCACGTTCGCAGACCCAGCAAGTGTAGATAAAGTACTAGGTCAGCCCCACCACGAGTTAGATTCCAAGACGGTAGGTTGCTTCTCATCGTGGTCCTCGTCGTCGTTGTTGTTGTTCGCCCCTTTTCAAGACCGATCCTGGGCATTGACAGCCCCATTTAAAGGGACAGTGCCTTCTTTTGCTTCTGTGCTGAGAGCCGGGTACTTTGAAGCAGAGCTCGGGAGTTGGCACTAAAGTTTGTTACCATCGCCGTGTTTGGGATTTTCTTTTTAGAGCCTGTTCCACAGCGATTCCAGTTGCTGCCGAACTAGGCTTAGGGGAGAGGTCGGCGGGGGGGGGGGGGGTGTATTTTCAAGGCCAAGGGACCGTGCAAAGAAGCTGCACCACTGAGCAAAGGCAACTTTTCTTTGTCAGCAGAGTACATCACATGTTACCAAGTGGGGCTGTGGGAACTGGCTTTCAGCTGAACAGCTTGCTTCCCGGCCCTGGGGGAGGGGCAGGAGGAGGGGGCGCTCATCCCAGGTCCAGGCAACAGGTTCCTCTTGGGGGCACTCTGGATTTGAAATAGGGTTTGAGAAGGAAAGGAGGCGCTCCCAGGGCCAAGCTGGGCATCCAGTGGGTGGCTCCAGATGGCGTGAAATCTAAGGCTGATAAGGCCTTGGCTTTCAAAGTGATTTGGGTTTTTTTTTTCCTTTTCTTTCTCAGGTCCTTTATTCTGGGCATGGGTACTTCTATAGCATTGGAAGGTTTTAAAGTCTGGTGTTGGAGGGTGGGGGGAGGTCTCTGGGGGGAGGTCAGAAGAGGAAGGGAAGAAAGGGTATCAGTGCATGATAATACACTTAATGGGAGGGGCTGGACGTGTAGTGTTTTATTCAGACCCCAGCGTTGGCTCTGTGCTCGCCTCCCTTCCCCTTCTGTCTTCTAGAATTTCCCCGCAGTTTTCATACATCTGCCAAAGCAGGGGCCCTGAGGTGACATTGGGATGCAGTGCTGGGCTGCTTGAGAGTTCACTGCTCTGGTGAGGTAGTGGGACGAGGCAAGCCATCGGGTTCTAGTCCCAGCAGTCCCTTTTGAACTTGGGAAAGTTGTTTCCGTCTCAGGCCTCACTTCCCTCTTCTCTGAAATAAAGGAGTGGAATCGAGGTGATCTTTTAAGTCCCTTTGGCTTTAACATTGAATAGAAGAGAAGAAAACAACAACAACAACTAACAACCCCGGCCACTTTGGGCGCACCTGCCTTGACTTTGCAAATTTACTCTCGTTCTCTGATCGGAGGTGAGGTGCATGGCCCTTCCTACACCCCAAGAAAACCCACACTCTAAGCTGCTTTATTAATTGCTGGATTTCCCATAGTCCCCAGCCCAGCCTTTTTGCACTTTGAGGTCATCTAATTTCAGGGATGATTATTTGTAGATTGATCATGCATATTTGGAGAATTTTTTTTTTTTTACTCTTTGGGTTTTTGGCTAGTTATTTTAAAAAGCTAGTAAAATTAGAGGACAAATATTTCTAAGCAAATTCAGGAATGTATTCTGTACCCCCCTCCACCCACTCTGAAAGAGTATTTGGTTTCTACCGCGGCCAGTGGGTCCTGTCCCTCCGTATCAGGTGCAAAGCCTGCAGTACCCCCTCCCCCATTGTCTGTAGACATGTTCTAGTCACTATGACTTAGTATAACATAGCTTTTGACTTTGTTTCAACCGTTCAGTGCAGGAGGCAGAAGCGGTTGGTTTATTGACATGGAAACAGAGGATCTTGTTTACCTTTAAAGCTTTGTTTAGGTAATGGCCCTTCACATCCAAAATAGTACCCTAGTCTTTTCCTAGAGGATTTGTAGCTACAGTAAGTAGAGCTATACCTAACTAACTAATGTTTTAATTTTTGGTAGTTTTCTCTTTTGTTGTTGTTTGTTTTTTTTTTTAATAGTTGACAGGGACGTGCAAAAGGTTGGGATTTGCCATGCTACCCTTGACCTCTCTTCTCCCGTGGACGCCTCAGCAGCACACTGACGGACTCTCTCTGTGGTCTAACACGCTGTTATCACAACACGCGATACCGGAATTCGGAATTGGCTTTGCGTTGTGATTGTAGACGTGTACACAAATTTATTGTGCTCCACTCTCTTCATGCACCATCCCCTCAGCTTCCGGCCTCTTCCCCAACATGTCCGATCCCTCCTCACCTTTTACCCGACAAACAAGACAAGATGACTTACACTGGCAATTGTGTGCCTGTCAGCTTAAAAAAAAAAAAAAAGACTTTGGGAGTGTTTATGAGGAGACGTATCTGTCTTACCTTTGGTCAACAGAATGGAAATCCACACCTGTTGTATTTCTCTTGTAGACAGCTCTAGTCAGTGCTGAATACACCTGTAGATGCGGTAATGTTAATCTGGATGAAAGGGTAGTTTTCTAGATCAGAGATTTCTGTCTCTCTTAGTTTTGGAAAAACAATCTCTCATTTCTCAGGTGACGTTTACAGGTAGAAAACAAACACGTTGCAGACTTACATCAGGTCTTTACCTTAATAAAAGTGGTAGATCCTTGTATGTCTTACCCCCTGGGGCCCTGCGGGGATGTTAAGTCTGCGAAGGGGAATTATCCTGTGACTTTCCTCCCCCTGTGCTTTTTCCTGGAGCATTTTTTAACCCCACAGCAGAACTGAAATCAAGGTTCAGATTTACATTTTAAAAGGGGGAAATTTTAATATGAGAGCCAAAGCCTATAAATAACTTGTAGCAATATTCGTGCCACTCTCTATGTTAAATTTTACCCAAAGACTCATGACATTTAGAAATCTAATGAAAACCAACAATGGGAATATTTTATTATCCCTGCCCTCCCCGTATTTTCTATTCAATGACTTTTCCCTTAGCCTGTTAGATTCAGATGCTTCCAGGGGAATTGCTTTGAATGTTAAAGCCAGTCCATGATGGAGACTCACGTGTTTTATCAGTGGTCTGGTCTAGGGTAGAAGATGTTTTCCCACTGGGATTGGGGTTAGGGTAGGGGAATACCCTGATTGTTACACTCCATTCTGGCTTTTTTTGGTGATTTTTTTTAAAATCCTTTCCTCTTGATGGCCTTTCTTTTCTAATTTGGGTTTAGGTCATTCAGAGATTTATTTTTTCTCCCTGTGATTTTTAAAATCCAAGTGGATTTAGCTCATGTTTCTTTTTATTTCAATTTATTATTATTTTAAGAACCAAGTTGGGTTCCATAATTTGTTTTTTGGACACCTGATTTCTTTTGAGCTACAACTACAAAATAAAGTTTCCCTTTGATTAATCTCAGGTAACTTTTGTGCAAACATGAGAATTCAAGGAAAGCCAAGCGTTGTGTTGGAGGTCTGTGGGGGGAGCTTTTAGATGTTGTTGATTTAAAAAAAATTTTTGGAATCCCCTTTCGTTTACTGGGGAAAAGAAATACCATCTACTTCTGGAAGGTTCTCACGTTGAATTTTCAGGTTATGATTTTTTTTTTCAGCGATGATGTTCCGATCTTTTCTCCTAGCCATGCATTGCAGGTTAGGTAGATGTAGTTACCGTTGACCATTCACCATCCATGGAAGAGAGGCCCTGGCCTAAATAAGAACACATGAGACCTGGTGTATTAACAACATCACACAATGAAATACAGGGTATTTCAGAAAGACTAGTTCTATTTATTACATTTTGGGAGAAACCAGTCATGTTTGGATCCAAGTCTGTAAAACTTTTTGGGTTGCCCTGGAAGTTACTAAAAGCTGGATTACAGGCCTGAGAAATGAGTGATTAATAATTAGGTATTTAATCATACATTTTTTCCTCTTCTCAAAGCAGTGCAGTTGACTCCCACTTCTCCATTTTTTTTTTCCCAGATTGACCCCAAAGTTGCATTTCCTCGTCGAGCGCAACCCAAGGTAAGTAGCAGAATCAATAGTGGGGTTGTAGCGCTCAGAGACGGTTGCCAAGGATTTTGCATTGCAAACAGAGCACTGGCCACGCAGCATTGAAACCCGGTGCCCACGGCTCCTCCAGGGTGACAGTGTGTGGCTGCGAGAGGCCAGGCCAGGCGCTCTGAGGTGACCTGTGTCTGTGAGCGAGCCACCAGGAGGTGAGTTCCAAGCATACAGCTAGTGCAGGGACAAGCCTGATCCTTAGTGGGAGGGCACAGCTCTGTGTTGCAATATTCATGCAAGTGTTCTATTTATTTTTTAAGCAGTACCAAGATCCTATCAGGAAGAGTTGGACATTTCCTTGTGACTCTTTTTTGGAGGGTACTCTTTTGAAGACCTTTTAACTTGGAGTTTGTGGAGAGCAGTAGAATTTCAGTGAACAGCTTGCGCTTTCTTGGAAAAATAGCTGTGAAGTCCTAAACCAGACAGAGGAGCCTGTGGATGTCCTGGTCCCAGGTCAGCTGGGTAAACCAGGGCACACCGGAAACCCACGGTGCTGCTGCTCTGTGCAAGGGCCAGTGCGGGCGGCGAGGCTCTGAAAAGGTTGTAAGCTTGTCCGAGTGGTACTACAGGCTCGAAGGCTTGAGATCGGCCTTCACTTTTTCAGAAGTGTGTCACTGACGTGGTTTCACTGAGCTTGCCAGCGGTGGCCATGGGAATGCAGCTGGCCGAGTCTGAGGTGACAGCGGGGAGGGCTGAGGGCTTACGTGTCAGGGTTTGCACTTTTTCATTAAACTTTTTTTTTTCTGGAGGGAAGACATTATCTGCACCCTGTGGCCTTGGCATTCTTTTAAGGAAAGGGGAAAAGGTGAAGCTTTTGACTATAAGTCATAAAGGGAGCAGGGCTGTGGCTCGAGTCAGTTCGGTTTGTTTCTTTAAGCACCGTGTCCCAGAAGTGGACCCCGGTCCTGGTGACGGGGGATGGGGGGGGGCGGGGATGGCTCCGCACGTTGTGAAGGAAAAGGTGGGGTTGTGGGTGACATTTTGAGAATTACGAGTCTGATCCTGCCGTAGGATTCTCTCCCCACTCCCTTCCTTCCTTCCTTTTTTCTATTTCTCTCTTCCACACCATTCTTTCCTTTCTTTTTTTTTTTTTTTTAAGGAAACACAAATCCCTTGAGTAAATATAGTGAAATACTTTCTTAAGGCATTTTTTTTTCTAATGTTAAGCAAATAACAGGACTTAATGAGCCAAGGAGGTTAGATTGTTTCTGTTCTGAGCACAAACTTTGGGACCGTCTTAACTGTTTAAAGGTTGCTTTCCAAACTCTGTGTGATCCTTGACATTCAAGAAAGGCTTCCAGAATAAGCAGTATTTCCTGGGTTTGGCAGAATTGCCGTTTCTTCCGTAAGTGTGAATCTTCCAATTTCCAGGTTAGTCATTTGATCCTGCAGACCTGGGGTCAGATTATCCTAGAGGGGAACTGGAAAACCCCTGACTTGGTCAGGCCCGCAGTTTGACCTCTTTCTCTTTCTACTCCCCCGCCCCCCCCTCCGGCTCTCCCCTCTTTTTAACCGAGAAGGCACTGTTTCATTTTCATACACTGTGGCATTTGGTTTTCCAGTGATGCATTCAACTTGAAAATGAGACAGAATATGTCTTAAACTTGTCAAAGTGGACACACACATACCCCCCCCCCCAATCCCCAACCCCCTCAGCCCAAGCCTGGGATGTCTTAGGTCAACTGTCACACCTAGATGTGAACTCACGTTAAACCGTTGGGGGAGGTCTCTCCATGGGACTCAGGGGGTCCGTAGCAGTGCCTGGCTTGTTACCACATGCCTTACAAACGCCTTTCCTGTCCATTATCTCCATCTGAGTCCCCAGGCTGTGGCATTGAGCAAGCTGCCTTCCCTCAGTCTCAGTTTACTCATCTGTGAAATGGAAGGGCGCCGTAGCTCCCCCAGAAGGTTGCTGTGAAGAGCGGAACAGCCTGGCACAGGGTGAGGGCCTTGCACCTCCCCCCGCCCACCACCACTGTTGTTGGATTAACAGTCATTTTCATGGTGACTGGTGTTTTCCAGCTCAGCACCTGACTCTGGCTCCTGCCCGTGCCACTCATTAGCTTTGTGCATTTGGGCAAGTCGTGGAACTTCCCTGAAACCTAGTTTCCCCATCTCATCGAGTTTTTTTTGTGGATGGAGTCAATTAACAAAGGTAAAGCCCTGAAAGGCCTGGTGCAGTGTGATGTCCATGTGTTACCTGCTGTGTTCGCTGCTACTTTAGTTAGACCCCCGTATCCGGTCAGAGTGCTGGCAGTAATGTGACGTGGAATTGAAGTGCCGGGCACTGTGGTAGGGACATTATGTGTGTTAACGCACTTAGTCTTCACCTCTGTCCTGTGAGGTGGCCAGTGGTAGTATCTCCATTGAGGAAACTGAAGGTGCAGATGGGTCAAGAAGTGGCTCCAGAGCTGGGCCCTCTCCCAGTGCGCTCCCCTGTGGGGGTAGCATGGTACGGCTTCTCTCTAATGGAAGAGCAGGTGACACCGAGTGGTCAGCAGGCTTCGAGCAACACAGCCACAGTCCGCATCTCAGGACACGGAGGTTCCACGGTTGGGTGACTGGCCCAGCCCCAGTGACATCATCCCCTTGCACGACACTGGCTGGTAGCTGTCTCTCCAGCAGACCCCTCGGGGCATCTTTCCAGTGGGTTCTGGAGTTGCTCCAACCCAGGGAAGCAACTGGGGAACTGGCAGAGGTGTGTGGGGACGGGGCAGTGGGGAGGGGAGAACTCGCCTTCCTTGTCCAGGGTGATTTTCTGGTAGGATGCGAGCCTGGCTGCAGGGATGTCACAGTGAAGTGCGTGTCGGGGCCAAACCCAGCTGTCGGGCCCAGAGAACTTTAAGTCAAGCCTTACTCATTTCTTGTTCGTCTCCCTTCAGTAGAACTTTTGTGCCTGTGCACAGGGTCTCAGGGGCCAGCTGACCTCTGCCCCTCCTTGGTGACGGGGTGAGGAGCTCCTAAGTGGAATGTGGGCGTGTGTTTCAGCTGAAATTCATTTCTGCGCTTCCCGGCTGCCTTTCCTTGCTAACATTTGCCAGAGAAATATTCCGTGGAGGTGTTAAAACAAGACCAGTGGAAAGAAACTGTAACTTAATATGACAGAAAATCCCTGGCAGTGAGGAACAGATTTTGTATTAGTACTGTCATAACATTCTTTAATGTAGCACATAAATAAAAACCCGTTTTGATCAGAATTTTAATGGGCGACCGAAGGCAGGGTGTTGCGTCCTGCAGTTCCTGTGTCCCCCTCTGCGCTGCGAATGTTCACATCTCCAGTGACACGGAATGGGGCTTCATTAGCCAGTCAAGGGGCCACTCTTCAGAGACTAGTGGCCGTTCATTAGTGAAGTACATTTTGATCAGAGGAAGATCAGTGTGTTCTGTATCTTTCTATTTCTTCGGATGATTATTTCATTTTGTGAAATATGTAAGAGTTTCCCCCTCTGCCTTTTTAAAAATTAAAATGGTCATGCCACTCGAACGAGATGACTTAATTTGGAGCCGTCGGAGACTCAGAGATGATTGTGATCAATCATGTCACGTATCCTTCCGTCCCTTTGGGCAGCCACATTGGCCGCCTGGAAGAGTCTTGCTCAGGCTTGTGGAGAACCCAAGAGACTGCCCAGTGTCTGCCGGGGGAGAGCGAGCCTCGGCCTAACTCAGCATCTGCCCTCATTACTCCTGTATATAAGAAAGTACCCCCCACTTCCCTCTGTTGTGATTTTGCTCCCTAAGTTTTAGAGACCAGAACCTTAACTGTTGATTGGGGGGAACCCATCTCCGGTTGCCTTTGGTCACAGCTGGTGACGCTGGGCCAGCTACCTAAGCCCCTCCCAGCCTCACTTTCCTCCCCTTTACAACAGAGTTAGTGCAGCGCACAGCCTGCAGCTGTTTCCAAGGTGAATGCAAGAAGTCTCTGCCTGGCACCTGGCAGAAATGTCTGCTCATGTTATTGTTAGTGGATTCGTTTTGTAGGAAAAAAAAAAAAACACTGTAAAACTGACCTAGATCTGAATTGGAAAGTAAGCCCCCTGACGGCAGGGGGCCGTGGATGGTTGGCGGTCGCTAACTGCCTGGTAAATGCCTCCGTGGAATCCCGCCTGCCTCTTCCTTTTCTCCGTGGAAGTTTGTCCCCTGCCCCTGGTCACACGGCCGAGTTGTGGTGCGGCTGAGCTAGAAGCCAGGTTTTCCTGGGCCCGGGAAGGCTGTGTTGCGCAGGCCTCCAGATGGGTGCAGCGCCGCACGGGCATCTGACACGCACACCTCCTGTTCCGGGGGAGCGGTTTCTTGGCAGCTTCTCAAGGGCGAGGGGTGAGTTTTCGGCATCTGGCCTTCCCCTGCTGCCGCGGGTCGGGTCGTTCTAGCATCTTGCCATCTTGGATGATCCGCAGCTGTCATCTCGGCAGCCACGGTTAACAGCCCTCGATGGGTTTCTGGTTCCCTGTGGGGGGCGGGAGGGGGCGGTGTGCCTGCAGCCCCGGTCCGCAGGGCCAGGACCCTGGTGGGCTGGTGGCTCGGCTTCCTCCTGGTCGCCGAGCGCAGCTCCTTCCTGCGTCCTCCTCAGCAGCAGGTGTTAGCGCGGGAGGAGGGGCACCTCGTCCTACAAACGCCCTTACGCTGGATTCTGCTTTTCTTCACATGCTTTTGTTTCCGTGTTAAGGTCAGTCTCCTGTATTCTGTGTGGAGGATTTTGGCAGACAAGTGAAACTTCTCTGGCCCCCAGGGAGGGAGGAGGAGGAAGGCACTCTCCGAGGAGCCAGCGGGCCGTCCTGGGTGTCCCTGGAGCCAGCACCCCTCCTTCCTGTCCTATTTTATATTTTTAAACCCGAACATTCTTCGGCCGGGGAGACGTAGCTCATCATCTCCGTCCTCCTGTTTGATCTGGCAGGTTCACCGCCTGAAAGCTCGTCTAATTGTTTCTCATTGTTGACTCTGGGTCCGCCCATTTGGGGGGATTC